TGTGTGTGTGTGTGTGTGTGTGTGTGTGTGTGTGTGTGTGTGTGTGTGTGTGTATGAATGTGTCCTGGGTATCATATATGTGTGTGTGTGTGTGTGTGTGTGTGTGAAGGAAAAGAGAAAAAATAATAGGAAAGACAATCAAAAGGTAACTTCAATTTTCTACCTTTTTAAAACCTTAGAAAACTGAATATAGAGAAAAGTATCAGGTTCAATAAGGAAGGACAATAGTTGTTGCCAGTACATGTACAAGTGAGCAGGGCACAAAGGAAAATCAGCTCAAAATATGAAGTGGCAGCAGCCTAACCAACTGCTTAGCATAGTATTACATTTGTGTATTAGATGAAACAGACTTCTAAGCAAACCTGTCTAATGTAAGGCTGATGTGGAGCCAATCTTGTCTAATTAATTATAAGGAAGTCCATTACCAAAATTAACAATTTAGCAACCAGTTACAAGTGTCTCTAGGAAACCTTACCTTTCGTATAGTCAGAGGTACTAGTATCTAGTAAATAGAAACACTGAATGACCCACTAATCAATAGGTGCATTTAGTTTTGAAGATAAATCTATACTTCAGTCATTCTATGTGCTTTTAAAGGGTGGAGGTGGTATCCAGGTAGCTCAGCAGTAAAGCACTTAGCTAGCAGATACAAGCGCTTGGACTCTGTTTTGAACACAGTAAAAACAAAACAACAAACAACATAGAAGACTTAAATCCACGGTGGTGGTGGTGGTGCAGATGCCTACACATGATCAAAGTTAGAAAGTTAGATTACCACTAAATTTCCAACTCATAGCACATACTCCCAAACCCAAAGGTGTTCTAGTTCCACTTTACTGCTGTGGTAACAAAACATGAATCAAAAGCAACTCCAGGGTGGAAAAGGATTGTTTCAGCTAACACTTCCAGGTGTCAGGGTAGGAACTCAAGCAGAAACTGTGATGGAATGCTGCTTTTTGGCCTGCTCACTGTTTGATGCTCAGCTAGCCTTCTTATATAGTCCAGGACCATCTATCAGTCTAGGGATAGATAGGGCTGGGCCCTCCCACATCAATTAAGACTAAAGACAATCCAGCATGGCATCCACCCAGGACAGAGTGAGCTAGGCAATTCCTCAACTGAGGCTTTTTCTCTCAGATAACTCTAGGTTTTGTCAAGTTGACAACTGAGACTAACCAAATGGATAAATGAGTTATATTTTCTAATTATTTTATTAAACTTTACTTCTGGCTTTAAAGAAAAATGAACTAATGACATGAATATTTTCATGTTCTTATCCATCCTTCCTAATGTCCTATAATCAAAACATACATCTGTCATTTTTAAACCCGGTCATGGTTAAAGATTTTTAAATAAAAGTTCTAACTATTCACAATTTTCTCCACTAAACAAATAATCATAGACTTAGATCAGAAATTAAAATGGTAGAAAACATTAAATACCCAGAAAAGAACCTACTTGAATTAATACACAGATAAAAATAGGTCTACCCAAATGGCAGGACTCCGTGGAAGACAGCAAGGGGGAGGGGGTTTCTACCGAGCCTCAGCTTTGGATCTTGAGGCGATGATTCTTTGAAAACAATCCAGAATTTCTGAAAGGCTGATTACAGTTATGTCTGTGCTCAATAGTATATAGACATAGTTACCGCCAAATGTTTTACTTTACAGCCAGACTTATACACATCTTTAAATATTACTTAAATTTATAAAGCTTACTAAATGCAGCTCTGAGGAGCTACTCTACCCCACTACTAACTTTAACCACTCTTTACAACAAAGACACCTTTTTGATTCAAAACAAAAACACCTAGGTTTTAAATGAGGTATATTTGTGTCTAATACTTTCCTTTTAGCATGCACAATATACAAGCTACTACTTCAACTTGAATCTCTCCTATCCACCACAGTTAATACGAGACTTAATGATTTTCACTCAGTCTTCTTAAAAGTTTTATCATTAAATATAATGTATAAATACAATGACATTCTCCAAGAACATGCCCAGCAAGAATAACCCCTTTTATAAAAATAAACACCAGTCTTAGAACCTTATTTAAGATTAGCTAACAGTCGCACTTTAGAAACAGGCTATATCAAATAGTAAACACATCAACTAAAGCCTGTTTGAGTGACCTTAAAGCACCTTTCCAATCACGCAGGAAGTGTTAACAATTATTTTATACAATATTACTTTTGAAAGCGTACTTTATTTAAGTATTTTGTAACTTAAAAAATATACAAGAAACCCCAAACATGAATCTAAAGATTCAAAAATACTGGACTGAAATTAAACGAATACTATATAGGCAAACTTCACTTTCATATACTACTCATAAAACTATTTCTAGAATCACATACACACATACAAAAGCTTATGTCACTGTATTAAGTGTCAGGTACAAGCTGGCAATCTAAAAAGTTAGCAAAACACCATGTTGTCCCCAACTAAACTCCTACAGTAAAAAACAGTGACTAAGCAGAAGGAAGAGTGATTCAACGCAACAGCAGAGGGAACGCGTGCCTTAGAAAAACCCAGCAGGAACCCTTCATGTTATTCTTTTCTTTTTGCCAGTCAGCATGGGATTGTCTTGGAAAACTTTTGACACAAAAACGTGCAAACCATGTTAATGTAACTTACTATGTCTGAAATTTTGCAAACAGCAAATGAAAAAAAAAATCCAGAAACTCTCTGAGACTTCGTATTAAAACTTTTAACCCTCACTGATACCAGAATGCCCATAAATAACTTCATCTTGGATCACAGTCAACAAAGCAATCATGGGAGAAAAGGTCAACTCCTTCCCAAGCATCTTTTATCCGGGATTTAACCACAGGGCTCAAGAAAGGGAGGTAAACACGGGCCGCCATCGAGGTAAAAATGTAATCTAGTCCCGGGTGACTCTGCACCCACCGTGCGTTCCACGTCCTGTTTCCAATCTGGGACTCCGTAAGCAGGACCCAGAAACTTGGTGGGGGAGAGTCCTAAGTTTCCCTTTAACAAGGGCCAAGGCTAAGCCTGGGCGCCTCTCACTTCCATGAATGGAAAAGTTACCAACTTCGCTCATCCCGAGCAGACAGTAGGAGATGCCTCGCAGACCTTTAACCCGTTTGTGCCCAAACCACCCCAGTTCATTTCCCACAAGCCAGAGGGGGCGACCCCGGCTTCCCGGGGTTCCCCTCTGCACACGGAGAGGAGCCCTCACCCGGGTCTGTGTTCCCGGGGGTCGGGGCGCCATTGGCCGGGCGGCTCAGAGGGCCACACACACAGACTAGCGGGCGAGGTCCCGTGTCCCCGCCGAGCAGGACAGGCCCAGGGCTACGCCGACTCCACCGGGCCCGCCGCCCCCTCGGTCCGCGCCCTCCCCAGCCGCTGACCCGGC